CCCTACATTTTCCAAACATAGCGTAAAGGGTAAATTATTTATACTTGGATGCTTCCATGGATAAGAGGTTGTGCGTAAGGGCCCGTAACCATGATCCAAAATTCCATTGGATGATTCCTGGAAAGGTTTCAATCAAATCTCCCTAACTGCCGGTGAGTCGGTGACCACCTTCCTACCCTAGTAGACTTTCTTCTTGATCATCTCTACCTGGTTCATTTCTTAGGGTGGACCTGGTTGTCTCTCATTTGGTACCCAATTAACCCTGCCAGCTCTACCATCTACCCAAGATGGTATATCTGGGGCCTAAATCCAGAGTCCCATCAGATGGACGGTCTGGATCCACCATGCCAGGTTTCCACGTGGCAAAACAGCCATGTTCCCGCAGAGTTCAAACCCCAAGCAAAATAGAATGTTCTGAGTTTTGACTTCGCAGTTTTCGTTCTCCATCTTATATTATAAAAAGTCATACCTAAACCCCTAGAGATCCACGTTCCAAAGTGATCACTGTACTTCTCCCCCTCTTTTCTTTCACTCCATGCTGCAAATGCATTACCTTCTAAACCCTACCTCCAATGGGTTTCAATCACAACGTAGGCTTCTGGGCTTTCTTCATCTTCTTCCTTCTCTCCATCATCACCTCCTTCTTTGCTTCTCCTTCCTCGTCACTAGTCATCAAGCCTGCAGATGCTCCTTCAAGCCTGCAGCCTGCACAGTACCAAGAGTTCAAGATCAAGAACCCCAGATCACTCGTCTTGAACGAAGAGCTCCGGAGCAGGAAGAAGAGGAGAAAGAAGATCAAGAACTTCGGATCAAGGTCTTTCTCAGCTATGCTCCCCAAGGGTTTTGTTCCTCCTTCTGGATCCTCTCCGTGTCACAACGACGTCCCCGACTCTCTGGCCTTCTACTGCGAATATTACTCCACCACCAGTAACACAAAGCCTTAATTAGCTAGAGACGACTCGACCTACGTTCATCACTTCATGAACCTTTTGGATCGCTCTCGTTCTTAAATATATATATCTTCAGTGGGTTCTGGTTAAACAGCGATGAAGATGGTTTCGTACGTCTGAAACTCTAAATGGGTCTTGATCTTTATTTTTATCTTTGTCTTTTCCTTGAGTCGGTTCACTCTGTACTGTGGCGAGAAGTGTCTGTACTGTACTGTTAAGGCTACCGATCAAAAGGGTAGTTTTTGAATTTGTAAAGACATATTTGTTGATCTTATGTATCACAAAGCATAACTAGAGAGGCAGTGTTCAGTGCTGCGAAAAGGAATGAAAGATCAAATAAACCCATGAATCTCCTTCTGCTTCTTACTACATCTTTCTCTCTCTCTCTCTAGTTCTATTCTTGTTCTACCGTCAACATTTTCAGGAAAAGAGTACTGATGGGAATAAATATATACATATATAGTTCTTCTGATCATTCTGGGTTTAATTTGTTCTTCTTAATTACTTGTTTTTGTTCTGTTATACTTTCTCGAATATTTCTAAATCTGTTATTCTATTCCATGCTATAACTTCATTTTTAATTCTGCAGTGTGGGATTTGGGAATGAAGAGGGGGAATGGGAATTTGGGATTGGTTGGTAGATTTGTTGCGGGATAAGAGGAGGAAAGCCATGTGGGTTTGCATCGTTGAGGGGTTCTTATTTTCGTGGGCGAGGGGGTTTTTCGTAGCGTATACTCCATGCATGGAAAAGGAAGGAAGGGAGGCTCTTTTGACGATGTACGTACTTGAAAATCCATAGACAGGATCTATTGACTAAGTTCCATATAGGCCTCAATAAAATAGCTAAAGCTTGCTTTTCTTTCGCCAGAACTCAGCACCAGTCATCGATTTCTCCCGTTTGATTGGTTTAATCCAACATCGATCAGACCGGCTCTGAGAGTTGATCCGGTTTCTCTCCTTAGATTTCTCCATATGTCTCTTGACTACTGTTAAACTGTGAATAGTTTTAGCCATCCAACTCCAACTCTCTTGATGGAGATGGGACCTTCAAGGTCTACTCAGAGTAGTTCAGTCCAAAAGTTGATCTGATTTAATTTCTGGGCTAGCCGTGCACATCAAGAAGATGGTTCACCAATTGAGGAGTCTTGATCAGTGGAGTCAGCCACCAATTCAGGAGTCTTGATTCAAAGCTCGATCCTTTGAAGCACCCAATTGGTTGGTGGCGTCAACAGGGCCAAGTCTTAGTAGTAGCAGCTTGTCCACGCTTCTAAATCTAAAGCTTAGGCGAAGGAAGCTAGCAGTGTCTGCAGTATTCACATTTTAAATTCAGATTATGGCCTTCTGGTCGTCTTCTCTCTCTGAAAGTTCTCATATTCTTTTTCAACTTTTTGCCTGAACTTGTAGTCTGCAGGTATACAAACTTACAAAGTACTCGGACTGACAGAAAACTTTGATACTACGTAAAGAAAGTTGTTTTCTTCTTGACTTTATTCAGTTATTCTTATTGGCTTATTAGGGTTGGATTTTGTAAAGGGCACGGGATGGGTAGAGTTGGCTTTGACAATTGACTCCTCTGTTTGAACCTGCCCTCGACCCGACTAAACCGGCAATTTTAAAGGAACCCAATTGGCCAACTGAGCTGGAGCTACTTGATTATTTTTGTCTTTCGGGTCGACCCTTCCCTTCCTGGCCCAACCCATAGTCATCCTAAGGCTATATGTTTGGTTTGAACCTTTCCTCAACTTTCTGTGTTTTTTCTCTTATTTTCTATTAAAAAAGCATGATTCAAAGTATCAATACGATAAACTAAAATTGCTTCTCATCATATGATTCAAGAAGCCAATATTATATATATATATATATATATATATATATACTTTTAATTTTTTAGAGCTTTCTAGGATAAATATGTTAAGAGAGATTAACTCATGTATAGTTCATGATTTTGATATTTAATGAATTTAGCCTAATGGCCTTTCCAAAAGGAAAATAATGTTAGGATAAGGGATTAGAACGTTTGGACATAAAACGTATGCATACCTCTTGAGTCTTTAAAGAGCATTTTAGACCTCGCTTTTCAAGAAATTACTTACACAGATAAATGCACTTATCTTGGTAAGTGTTTCCCAAGGTAAATGTCTTATCGAGGAAACACTTACTTGGGTAAGTGCATTTACCCATGTTTTTTTATTTCTTAGGTAAATAGGACAATGACTGTATTAGCCATAAAGAAACTATTATTAAAAGGGGCAATTTTATTCCATCCAAGTATTGACAACTTTTTCCCCTAGGTAGTAAAATTATTTACCCACCTGGGAAATAGATATCCTTTACCTGGTCAGTGATACTTAAGGAAAATAAATTTTCCATGAACCTCATATAATTCTGAAAAAAGAATATGGGTATCTTGGTCAATGGGAACCAAAATCCCATTTGATGAATTCAAAAACTGATACATATCATACAATTACATTGATACATTGTGACATTTTAAACCTTTCCAAAATGGTCTAAAGTTTATTGTTTTACCATGCAAAATAAAATTTTTATAATATAATTAAGGAAATGCACTTTGGTAATTGAACCCAGGTCAGTGGTAACTATAGTGATGTTTGACATCGGTGCCAATTTTCCAAAAATCAGTGCCACATCGGTTCCACATGGGATAAAGAAGTGATTTTCAATCTGTTTGGTTGGTTGATTTTCACGATTTTTGGGAAATGACAGAAAAATGATTCTTAAAAATGGCCCATCTTGAAGGATCACATCTGACATGTCTCCAAGAAAAGGATGATTTCAAGGAAAAATAATCATTCTTGAGAATCAATACTAAACAAACTGCTTATATACCATAAATGATACCAAACAACAATTTTTTATGATTTTTTCAAAAATCACCGGTTAATTTCTGAATAATTGGCAAAGATCATCATCGTTTGCCAAACATCACCTGTATCTACTAACCAGCCAAGCCAATTGAATGTTTGGGTGGATCAAATTTGAGTCAACTCAGTCCATGGGTAACCGTAAAATAATGTAAATCCTTATTCCTTGACCATCTATTCAATTAATTAAGTTGAACTCTATTAATTAATAAAGCCTTGTCTCAACTAATGACTACATGGGATTGGCTACATAAATGCTAGGTGCTTGTACTTTTCGCTCTATCAAGGGACATGCCTATTGTTAAATTTTATCCTTTAACTACTCCAAGATCTAACTTGCTTTCTGAGCACCTTAGTGAAAGTAATTCCAGATGCTGATGTAGATCAAAGAATAATGTAGTGTGATCAAAACATGGGTTTAAATAAAAGGAAGTAAAATAAAAATGCTTAAGCTGAGTTTGGAAGGAGTACAAATACAAATATGTAGAGTGCAAAACTTTATAATTTGTATTATTTTGTATGTATTTATATTGTATATATTTGTATTTGTACTGCTTCCAAACTGAGACTTATGGGTTTAAATGTAATGAAACTGTTTGGAGAGTTGACAAAAAGGATTCAGTGGCCATTTGGTTATGGCTGATGTGGCTGAATTAAATGACTTATTATTTTGTCCTTTAAGGTCAGTTTTGAAAGAGTATAAATACAAATATATATAGTGTAAATACATACACAATAATACAATATACAAGGTTTTAGTGTTTTAATTCTACATATTCGTATTTGTACTCTTACCAAACTGAGCCTTAATGGATAAATTGGTCGACCTAACATGCCAATGGATAAATCATAAGTCATATAGTTCGGCCACATCATCTGTTATCAAGTGGCTCAGTAAAAAACACAATGAAAGAACATAGGCTTTTAGAGTGGCAGTGGAGGGAATGTTTGGTCAGAATTGGTTTGCTGATGATTCAAATTTATAAATTTGCTATATCAGCTAAGCCCCTAAATTAGCTGAAATGTCTCATTTGGTGAGTTCAAATCTGTGTGCCATGGCCGGGCACCTCACAAACGCTCCACACGATGAGAGTGCTCCACATGTTCAGATGCACGATTTCACTCTTCCCGCGTGCCGGGCTAATGGGAGGGTCGTTAGGTTGTCCCGTTAACTCCAAAATGAGGCCAAAACCCATTTTCACTATTTCCTTTTCCGCCCTCGACCTCAAACCTGTACTCGTGTCTGAGAACCCCTTTGACCCCTGTTCTACTCCCTCCATCCGAGCTTGGATCCAACTGCTTCTCCGGCACCAACGATCGCTCCAACCATCTCACCGTCACGAGGTACTCTCCAACTCTCTCATATCTTTCACATTCATTTTTTTAGGGTTTGATTTTATCTGATATATATTTTTTTTTCATTTCAAGGCAGAGGAGGGGAATTTATTTATCCACCATCGGCCATCTCCGATGACCACCAGCAACAGTAAACATGTGTGGTGCGTATTTTTTTTCTCTCTTCCTTCTACTCCTTTTTTTTTTTTTCATTTGCATATAACAGATCTTGACGAACATATAAGCTTATACGTCTGTGTCTGTGGTGGATCTTGACAAGGCCGTGTGATTCGATGAGCTTGATGGTCTGCTGATAGTTCGAACTGGAGCTCCTGTACACAGGAGATGTGGTTTCCCATCAGATGGAAGCACAAAGAGATCATATGGGACCTGTAGAACTTTATGCCCATATTCTCATAAGCTCAATGACCAGATGACAAGAAGCAAAAGGGAGAGTTGTCGTAATAAAGAGGGAGAAAAACACAAACCTTAAGAAAGAAAAACTCAAAAGGTCGTACTATACATACAAGAAGGCTTAATTATATTGTTTTGAACAATCTGTTTTTTATTATTCTTTTAATTGCTCAAAGCAACTGTATATGTGTGGAAGTGTGTTAGCAAGGTTAGTGGTATTGGGTGGGTTTTCCCTTTCTATGTGAACTAGGACTAGGAGGGATGTGGCTTGATGTTTCTGATTGACCACCACACATAGGACTTGAAGAGGAGTAGGGGGAATGCATTTATGTACTTGAGTGTATATAATATATTCCCCAAATGTGTTATTGTTGAATTTAAATTGAATTATAGAAATATAATAGTATAAAATTGATGGAATAAAGTAAATGATTAAGTTTCATATACTAATACAGAATGAGTTCTCAATTCACATATGGAATTAGGTTTCATAATAACCTAAAGTATAGTGTGAGATATTGCAAGTGTGGAGAAAAATGTATACTTCGTGTGTCAGAGACACCTGGTAATCCTCAAAGGTTGTTTACATTTGCCCTGGCAAACCCGTAAGTACTACACTAATACTGTATTTTCATTGTGTGTTTGTGATGACAAGTCTGATTATTTGAAATGCATTATTTGTGTTTGCATGTATGTAGGCAAATGATACCAAAGAGGAAACTTATTCCAATATCAAGTACTCCAATTTAAAGCTTTGCAACTTTTTTGAATGGGCATTTCCTATAATTTATTTAGATGAAGCCACTTCAACCAGGAACAATGCAGTAAATATAGGGAGACATATTGAAAAGCTAGAAAAGTTAGTTGTTGAAGGATTGGATGCTTTAAAGGCTTCACAATAGTTCTTTAGCGAAGGACTGAAGACTATGCAGATTGTATTTATTAGTTTTGTAGTTGTGTTTATAATTATCTTGTACCTGTACAAGAATTAGTATTTAGGTGAAAGAACTAATTACTATTATTTAGATACAAGAACTAATAGCTCCTAAGTATAACGATAACTATTGTATTATATTTATGGATGTTAAAGTAGTTATCCATGTGCTATAGCAATACTAAAATCTTTGGCATTGATTTTCGACATCTAGTTGATGATCATTCATTCTGGTCCTAAAAGGAGATACCCTCATCATCATAACTTCTCTTTTTAGTATCTAAATCAATCACTATAAAGACGGTTGAAGATTATTTAGGTTGATGGTCATGTGCTAGTAATACAAAGACGGTTGATACCCTCATCTTTGGCTTTGATTTTCAACATCCAGTTGATGATCATTTAGGTACATACTATTGTGATTGGAGTATCTAAATCAATCACTGTAAAGATGGGAAGCAATCTAAATGTTCATTTACATGGAAACTGTGGCTGAATCCTAGTAGCTTTCTGTAACCATCTAGTCCCCATGAGTACCTTGTCAATGTTATGAATGAGCTGCATTTAAGCAGCTTTTGATATAAGTTTCAGAAGAATTCCAGGATGGCCCATCTCATCCAAATACTTCTTGAACCTATCAGAAAATGATTATGCACCTGTAACCAACATATCAGCCTAGGTTTCCACATCCCATGACATGGAGATCAAATGAAGCAATAGCATGGTAAGGCATTCATATTCAATATATTCTAGTGGGCAAAGTTTGAAAATTCAGCTTTGTGTATCTGTACCAAAGCCCTCTTCAAAGCATACAACCTAAAATAATTAAAGTTTACAAAATAGTAGTCCTCTTCCCACTATTCAACCAGTTACTACACCACTCTCCCTTTCTCTTTTTATCATTTTTCCTATAATGATTTCGCTTACAAAGCTGGATGCAATCCATAGCCATAGCCAAAACCTGCAAACCAAATAACTTTTTAAGTGAACTTTTCATAGCCATAGCATAATAAAAAAGCTAGATGCAATTCAATCAATTTAATGATATTTCGTTCATGTTGTATTTTGCTCCATGAAAATAAGTAAGAGTAACAATGAAAAAATTATTAAGGAATTTTTAGGATGTGAAAGTAATGGATCACCTGACTGATAAAATACTGAACATGTTAGCGTAAGACATCCCCCCTTTTCCAGTTGTTGGTCTTGATATGATCCAATCCAAGATTACTCCTGCATATGAGATCCACTAGAGATGGTTTGGCTTAACCTACTTCCGGGTACCTCTTCCTATAGAGACAATGTCCAATTATGAATCAAAATGATTTTATAGAGTATTAAAAAAACCCATACACACCATTTACTTTTATGCAAGCTAGAATGGATATACACGAACCAATGTGGTGCATGTGGCAAAAGAATATGTTAGATCTTGTCTACTAAAATTGGTCTTTGTTTAAGATTTTAAGTTAATTTCAAACAACTACATGCAAAGGTGAGGGCATGGTGTGATGTTGCCAATTCAACTACAATGTAACCCATCATGTCAGAATAAATTACTTTAAGTTATTGTAAAATCACAACGGAGGAAAAAATAACTTGCATGAACAAGGTAAGGAATGGTTCTTTTTGGATCACTTCCATCTATAGTAGTTTGAATATTTTCCCCAAAACCTTGATCCTGAATTATAAGGATTTTGTTAAAGTTTCAAGTGCAAAAAATATATACCAAAATTAACGACTTATCACCTATTAAACCTTAATACATGTGTGTGCATGGCAAAGTGGTCAGACCCTTGTGTTTCTATATTTATTACTTTCTTGGTTATAGGATTCACACTTCCCCCTATCTCTATGTGTCTGAATCATAGAAGAATCAACTAGTAAATGTTTGAACAATAAAAAATGAAATAAATTGAAAAATACCTATGAAGAGCATTTCTCATCAGATTGGTCCTTCTTTGGTCTTCTTCCCTTGGCTAGTGCTTTCTGTAAGGCGTTTTTTGACATTTTTGAAGAGTGTACAGTGGACACCTTGTGCTTAAATCCCTTTAATGATTTCAGAAACCTAGCCCCCATAGAACTACCCTCAGTATTGTTGTTATCACCAACATCCATTGCATTAGTGTTATCATCAACATCCATATCTAATTGTGTGCCATCAAGATGCAAGGAGATCCATTTTTTCATTTTCAACTTGCATATCATGAGATGTTATAGATGATTGCTCAATGATTTTTAACTTCCTTAAACGCACTGTCACATCTTCCAACAACTTCTCTCCTATTTACATAACAATGTTGTAAGCATCACCGTTGGTGCAGTCTTATTTACTACTTGGGTGAGTAGATGAAACATCTCTTTCTACGTGTTTCTATTTTTGTAACTTAGATGCTACACCCTTGCATTTTTTTTTTTTTGCACCAATAGTCCACCGGTTCAATACATAGGATGATGGTAAGGGCTCCTGCATATAATCAAGTACATTCAATGCATGCCTACATAAGATCCCAAAAAATTCAAAGTTCTTGCAACTACAACTAATTGATTTGTTTCTTGAATCAAATGTTACATTGAATTGACGATTCACCCCATACACCTGAATTGTATATTCAACTACCATTTCAGACACTACACAGTCTTTTTCGATGGTGCAAACCAATTGTTGCATTATGATGTAGGCGCATACGACAGGGCTAGGATGGTGCCATGTGGCATCGGTCGGATCAAATCCTGGCTGTCTGCTGCTAATAAATTCCAACCAACTTCCAGGTGAGCTCGAGTATAAATAGGTGTGTCACTCCTTATGTAAGCTATCTTGGTTCTTTCTACTCTTAAGCTCTCTAACACTCGGGTGGCCTTGTCTAAGTTCTTCCTCTTAGGCCTCGTCCGACCTCTTACTACGCACTTGACTAACTTGACTGTCAGAGTCTCCGCCCTTGGCGGGATAACACCCAAGGTCTCTGACGTGCTCTCTGATCCTCAAGTTAGACATTGCAGCCCTTAAACACATCAGCCCTCGGATGTACTAGCCCTCGGCTAAGGAAGTGAAGTTACCTTGTTGCCCTCGCCCCATCCTTGGCAACAACAATTGCCACCGTCTGTGGGAACGTTGCTAAGACTTCCCCCTAAAGTGAACACTTAATTCAAAGAACTACTAATCTTCCAATAATGGCTGATAATCAAGATAACATCCTAAGTGCTCAGAACTTGGTCACCATGGACCAATTTAGGATGATCCTCGATAGGCTCGACAACATTATGCAAAGATTGGACGAGGTGGGGCGCTTGGTAGGAGGCCGCCCACAGGGTAGCCACCCCGCTAGGAGCTAGGGGCATCACAGTGAACGCTCCACCCATGCTTTACTGGTCCAGTGCCCCGTCCGACCCAAGAAAGCCGACCCCTTAGTGTCCAATAGCAGCAGCCGACGTGCCATCAAGCCGTCGAAGACCTACCTCCCCATCCGACTGGGGGGGGGATCCAATTGGGTCCCATGATAACTGCCGGGACCATGAACACTACTACCACGTAGAGAGCCCTCGGGACGAAGGCGGGCACTCTAGCCACTATAGTCCTCCTCCGAGGGCTGGTGGCCGATGCCACGCCTCTCCCTCACTTGTGTTGGACCTCCGTGACCTCCTCAACGATTGACAGGCCCGAAGGAACTAAGATGTGCCTACTTCAAAGAACTCTTGGAATCAGTCTGACTTGTTCCACGCCCGAGAGGACTAGGATGGGGCCTAGGCTTCCATCGGTAGAAGAATCAACAACCTACAAGTGTAGATCGACGCCATAAAAGATGAACTTCGCTAGGTGAAGGAGAGCCGAGGTGATGCCTCCACCAGTCAGAACCCCTCGTCCATCAGAATGGATGCCTTCACCGACTCCATCACCTTAGAGCCTCTACCACCTCACTTTAAGGCTCCCACACTAGAGATGTACGATGGAACCACCGACCTGGACGACCACTTGGAAAGCTTCCGAGCACTCATGCTCCTCTATGGGTACTCCGATGACTTGACGTGCTGAGCATTCCAGGTGACGTTCAAGGGGGTAGTGCATCGATGGTTCTCGGGGCTCCCCTCTCGTTCCATCAACTTTTGGGAACCGTTTGCCCATCTTTTCCTCTCCCACTTTGTCAGCAGCCGACGGTGCCAAAAGACCGTTGTCTTCCTCATGTCCATCTAACAGAATCGCAAAGAGAGCCTGTGGTCCTACATTGACCGCTTCAAGAAAGAAGAGCTCAAGGTCTGAGACCTCAACCCCTCGGTATCAATGGATGTCGCAATCAATGGCCTCCAGCCCGAACCCCTCAAATGGTTTGTCTCCAAGACACTGCCCAAGAACAAGGTGGAATTTTTGAAGAAAGCACAGAAGTACATCGCCACTGAGGAGGCCATGACCGGTGAGCGCTAGGAGGGTGAGACCGACCCCAATCAAGGGGCATCAAACAAGAAGAGAAAGGATCGAGATGGTCGCAGCCATGGCCACAACAACAAGAGGGGTAACCTGAAAAAGCACTGCAAGTACCACCACGACACCGACCGCAACACTAAGGACTGCTACGACCTAAAAAATGAGATCGAGTCCCTCATCCGTCGTGGTCATTTAAAGGAATATGTGGGGGGCGACATTGGTGCCTCGTCCTCACAATAGCAGCAACAATAGCACAACAACCTGGCCAGAGTTATCGACGTCATCGCCGGTGGCACGGCCTCGGGTGGAGCCTTAGCCTCAGCCCGAAAGGCCTATTTCAAGCAACTGAATATCCAAGGGTCGGATCCCAAGAAGCCGAAGAAAGACAAAGTCATCTCCTTTTTGGACGATGACTTGAAGGGGGTCTCGATTCCCCACGATGATGCATTGGTGGTGTCGATGACCATCACCAATTTCATGGTGAAGAGGATCCTCGTTGATAGTAGATCATCAACTGACATCCTCTTCTACGACACCTTCGAGAAGATGAAACTATTCCCTAGTGAGTTGCAACCGGTTGATGTGCCACTCGTTGGCTTCTCTGGAGCAATCATCAAACTAGGGGAAAGAATCACCCTACCCATCATTGTATGGATAGAGCCTCGGCAGGTGACCAGGATGACTGAGCTCTTGGTCGTGAAGATCGGCTCCCCCTACAATGCCATCATTGGGAGGCCGACCCTTCATGCAGTCAAGGTGGCCATCTCCTCCTACCACCTCGCCATG